GTGGAGGCGATGAATGTTGTGCTTCCCTCACGGCAGGTACTGAGTCGTCAGATAATAATAAAAAAAATAATAATAATTAACGGTTTATTGAAAGAGCTTGGCAGCCAGAAGGCTGAAAATATACAGTTACATATTTGGGGAATGGGTTTCGAATTACAAATAATATACAAGTAACATAAGTGACACAAATAAGACATATAATAAGTATATGGGGAAAAGTTCAAACTACAGTTCATTTCAACATAGTGACAGTGCAAGGAGTAGTGTTTACTGGGAGTGAATACGCTGGTTTATTACAAGTTATTGATAATTTTTACAATGGTTGGGACTGGGCTGTTCTTATAGCGATCAGTTCGTGCACGTATGGGCTGGATGCGGTTGTGGTGTCGAACAGCAATTCTCGGACTATGGATCTCAGGTGGTAGTAGGAGCCGGTGTCGAGGATGGTGTAGAAGCTTCTTACCAAATTTGCAGATGAGGTCGTGGTGATGGTCAGTGAGAGTCGAAAGGGTCAGTGTGTTGAGCCCTTCTTGATATGTGGAGTAGGAAGGGGAGAGAATAATCTTGCATGCCCTCTTTTGCACTTTTTCTAGGTGTTTACGTTGTGTGGCATTTAGGGAGGAAGACCAGGTGGGGAGGCATAGGTGAGCTTGGGAAGTATGAATGTTGTGTAAACACTGAGGAGCTCGGGTGCAGGAACTCCGAGGGACTTGAGTCGGCGGAGGAGGTGGAGACGGAAACTGGAGGATTTGATAACTTCACTGACGTGTGGTTTCCAATTTAGTTTGTTGTCTATGGTGACGCCGAGGAGCTTCGTGGAATCTACAACCTGGAGTGTGTTCGGACCTAGAGTAATGGAAGGAGGTGGGATGTCGGAGGAGAGGTTGATGTGCAACCATGGTCTTGGTATGGTTGATGGTGACGCATGGTTGTTGGTGGCCCAGTTTTGGAGACTGTTCAATAAATCCTGAAGGTGGTATAGTTGAGGAATTGTTGACGCCGATCCCAGGTGGAGTCGTCGACATATTTCCAGCGAGCAGGGGGTTTCTTAGGGCATCATTGATGAGCAGCATAAGGAAGCAGAGTGGTCCCATCTTGGTGCCTTGGGGGACGCCACAGGTGAGTGACTGAAAGGTGGAGACAGCCCCTCGGAAGCGTACAGCTTGGCGTCGGTCACTGAGGAAGTCTGTAAGCCATGGTATAAGACTTCTCCGAAGCCCGAGGTCAATAGCTTTGCTGATGATTATATTGTGGTCGACTAGGTCGAATGCTTTAGTGAAATCAATGAAGGCGACAGCTACAGACGTTTTTCGTTTCTCAAGATGGCGGTATATGTAATCGAGAAAGCTGACAAGACAGTGAGTGGTGGAGGAAATTTTCATGTTGCCAAATTGCTGAGGGTCTACGACTCCTGCAATATCAGCATAAGCCCAGTCGAACACAAAACTTTCACAGATTAGGCTGGGTATTGGGGTGATTGCAATAGGTCGTAGCTGATTTAAGGATTGTGGGCTGGTTGACTTGGGCACTGGTGATACATAAGAGGTCTTCCAGTCAGCTGAGCATCTGGCTTGACTGAGAGAAGCATTGATGATGGAGCATAGGGGTTTAGCAAGCTCCGGGGAGAACTCCTTGAAGAGTTTCATTGGTAAGTCAATGGGGGTGGTAGAGCGTTTTAATTTTAGTTTGTCCAGGCGTTTTGCTACTTCAAATTCTTCTACTAAGTCAGTGGGAAGGGGGGCTGGTAGGTAAGCAGGGAGAGTGGTTGTGTCAAGCCGACGGAGCGTCTGGCATATAGTAGAGAAATGGTTATTTGTTTGCTCAGCCGCGTCAACATTAGTGAGATGGCTAAGGAAGGGGAGGGGGTATATCTTATTGTTTAGTCCACAGAGTTCTTTAAGCTTACCATACCATTGACTGATGTTGGTCTGCTTCAGGTGTTGTAATTTGGTTGGGTAGTGGGACTTCTTTGCAGTGCATATTTCGCGGATGACTCGGTTGCGAAGGGACCTGTAGCGGATGTGGTCATTGAGATGAAAGGCTCTGTCTCTCTGTCTCATAAGTCTTTTGATGCGCCTGCTGGGGTGTGTGTGGGCCTGGGTCAGGAGCAGGGGCTACGTCAGCAGAAGCGGATAAGGGCTCGTGACAGCAGCTGGGTCCACGACAGCAGCAGGGTGCAGGACATTAGCAGGGAGTACCTGAGGGAGAAAAGAGGGGTGTGTGTGTGGGTCCGCACTCAGGAACAGAGGCCGCGTTAGGGGCGGCAGGGGTTACTGCTGGGCCGGGGTCGGCGCCTGAGGCAGGACGGGTGTTCTGGGGTCGGTAGGATGTGGTGCTTGGGGCAGGAAGAGGAGCCGGTGTCTGCTTGAGGACTGGGAGCGTGATCAGTGTCTCCTCCATCCTGTGTGAGTGCTAATCTCCGGGAGTCACCATTTGTAGGAATTCGTGGTATAATGTTGTCTAGCACTCAGGATGGATGGAAACTCTAAGGTGGTTTTCTTGTATAATATAAGTTATATGATAGACAGTCTGGTGCTGGAGGTGCCGTGTGGTGAGGAGCTGCTCAGTAGAGACGTTCGGTGAGTAGCGTGTTGAAGGAGGTAGATGTGCAGGAGCTTCGTTAGAGAAGATGTTGCCTGTTGCGGGCCTCCTGGTTGAATGAATGCTGGACAGCGTGGAGCTTGCTGGAGGAGGTGTTGCGTGTTCAAGTAGAATGGCCAGAATGAGAGCTGGTTGGTGAGGAAGCTCAGAGGACAGCTGGTGGGTTGCCATGCTCGCTGGCGGGAGCGAGGACCGCCAGGCAGGCGGAGGAGAGGCGAGGGCCGCCAGGCAGCGGCGGAGGAGGAGGTGTTGCGTGTTCAAGTAGAATGGCCAGAATGAATCTCAATGGAGAGACAGAGCTTATATACCCAGCAGCCGTGAGTCACCTATGAGTCATGTTGGGAAAACCCGAGAAAGTCGCCGGTGTTTGGTTCCGTTGCTAGGTTACGGTAGCATCTGGTGACGCCGCTCGTTTGGTTGCTAGGGAAGGCGTCGCAGGTGGGATGCAGCTACGCAGTTTGTAGGGGAGACGTCCACTACAGTCCCATACATTACATTATGGAATGTTACTGTTTATCAGAATTTAGGGGTGATGGTATTACTGATATTACAGGGATGATTTGTTATTTACTAAACAAAAATATGGTTAAGATTATTATGAAAATATTCTGTAAGTTTAACATAAATTTGTAGATTTTATGCACATCTATTTGTTGTATCCATATCTGATTTATGTTTAGTACAATATTAAAGAGCTCTTGTTAAGAATAGTTTTGGGCGGGTTAGTTAGCATACTAACCAGCTCCTTTTAATGCATTTGTCAATAAATGTTTTGAATTTGAATTTGAATCTGTTACACACTCTTGGCAAGTACTGCTTGTGCTGGCTCCAGAATGTATCTGTACCTGCGCCAGTATTGGTCAAGTCTAGTCTTGAATGAGCTCACGCTTGGTGCTGTCACAACCTCTCTGGTAGATTGTTCCAAGGGTTTACATTTCTCTTCCCGAAAAAGTTTGCCCTGACAATTTTCCGAATTTGTGGCTTCTTCAGCCTTGAGCTGTGACCCATAGAGGGGCGGGCATCCGCCAGCTCCAAGTATGAACACTCGACTGATTAATGCCCTTTGATGTATTTATAACCTTCAATTAAGTCATCCCTTGCCAGCCTATAGTATAAGCTAGGTAATTTCAGGCGTTGGAATTTCTCTGGGTAACAGGTACCGTAGTGCAGGCACCAATCTGGTGACCGACCCTCTTTTGGACATTTTCAATCAACTGACAGCCGCTAGCATATCTCGGGGACCAGGCGGTACTCCAAACGGGGAAGCACCTCACTCTTGAAGAACCCTAATTCTTTTCAAAATGGCCCGGTTGGTAAGACTATGATATTACATATTATTATTACATTTTGACTATTATATTAATTGCGATGTATAATGTAAATATATACCATAATATACACTATACTCAGGAGCACACACATAGGGGGAGGGGGGGGGGGTGCCTACAATTAAGTACAGTATATTTATTTTTTTAAAGAATATTCAGCATTTTTAGAACTGCATGAAGAGATTAATAATACTGTAATAATAAAGTTATTTACTGTATTAAAAAGCACTGGGTGCAATAGTGTAACGTGTAACTATGGATGGCTAATGTAGTTTACTAGTTTAGTGTTAATGTGAATGAAGGGAGTGAAGCTTCGACCTGGAGTTAGGAGTTAGTATCTCGACATTTCGAGATTAGCTTTGAATGAAGCTTCGACTAGGGTAGCAGAATGAATTAAAAAAGAAAGGATTCGTAACCTAGATAAAGTAGTCAACAAATTTACCAGAACTGGTAGTTGTCCAGCAAAAAATTGTGGATGGTGAGATAAAAACAAAAACAAAAAATTCTTATTCGCAACTGCGTGAGGCAATAGGTTTGTCCGCACAGTTTGTTATTCAAATTTGCGTGAGAGGTATTCAAGCACATTGTGTGTTTGGTTCCATACATGGGAAATGATATAGCTACTTAGTGCAAAAAAGGGAATAAAATTTTAATATTTCGGCTATCGTGCCATTAGAGAGAAAGTGTTGTGCCATTTCACACACAGTGTGATTGGACTTGTCTCTAAAAAAAAATTATCTTCACGCAGTCGAGAACGCACTGTTCGAGTGTGTGGTCATATATTTATTTGACCACACACACTTAACATTTAGTTTTGTTCACATCTATTTGACGGATATACTGCTAGAGGTACTTATATCCCAACCTTAGTCTAGAAGTTACAACATCTTGTAATCTATTGATCTTGTTACTTGCTCCATATACATGTTTCACTTGATACATCTCATCATGGTAAACAATGGATTGACTAATGCCTGTTTGCACTTTTTGCTTGCGTCAAATTCATCAATAAGTTCTTTCCTAATTACAGTTTTAAGGGTTGTTTTTGACAGACCCAGAATATATTCAACAATGTCTGTTAGACGCGAGTTTGGTGAGGGTATCAATTCTGTCATGTTCTGTGAGGCCTATGGGAAAGGGGATCCACAGCAATTAGATCTTGACATCCTGGTCAACAAGGTACGTATACAGTGTTTGTGTCTGGCTTCAGAGACAAGTTGAGGGTGTCAAGGGCAAGTAGTGAGGATAGAGAAGCATTGATGATGATACTGTCAGTGAGAGTGGTTTCAATAAATTTAATGGCTGTGAGTATGGCAACTAATTCAGTTTGTAGAGTGGATGCCCAGTTGTTAATTCTAACTCCTTTCTCAATTGTATTACTGTTAGGTTGAGTTACAACGATAGCACTTCCAGCCCTCCCACAGGCAGTATTAAGAGATCCATCAGTGTAGATGGTCTGTGTGATATTATCATCAGTCTGTAGAGTGTGTATGTGTTCAAGAGCTCTCACTTTGGCAGTGTGTTGGAGATAAATACTTTGTATAATTAATCTTTTAGGCGGATATATCGGTATTATGATAGCGACGGGAACTGTCCGCCAGGTTGGTAGGAAGTGCTGTTGTGTCTCAACTTTGTACAAATGGTCTAGTCCAAACATTTTCATATGTTGATGTTGGTGGTAGTGTTATTGTTGAAAACACACAAATGGTCTATCTGTGCAGTTTACCCTCACCTGCACCATTTTCTATGCACAATTACAACCCCTGAGGCCAGTGAACGTGGCAGCTCACATACAAGGATAAACTAAAGATATTCAGCGTCAGTCTCTGTCTAGGGCCTTGACTTGTGGTGACGTGAGTGATGAAGTCAGAGTTTAGGTGATCTAAGCTAAGAATATTACACCTTAAACAGATACTACTCAACGTTGAGTAAGAGTTTATGTAAAAGATAATAATAAATAACTGAAAAATAGCGAGCTTCTGCTTGTTCGAGAAGAACTTATAAATATGCCAGTCAAGTGTATAACCCCGTAAGTAGCCCTTTTTTTTTTATTTAATTAGAGATAAAGTATATCATATTTTTTATTAGTCTGTACTGAAATTCGACGGTATCCATCTATATAAAACAAAGAAGTATGTCTGTTTGTCTGTGTGTCCGCACGAGAATCTCGGAAACTACTTTACAGATCAGTGGTGATGATGGATGGTGTTATATGTAGTGATGATGGATGGTGTTATATGTAGTGATGATGGATGGTGTTATATGTGGTGATGATGGATGTTGTTATATGTAGTGATGATGGATGATGTTATATGTAGTGATGATGGGTGGTGTTATATGTAGTGATGATTAGACAATAAAATAATAAAAGTTTAATAATAAAAATATATACTTTGCTGTACCGTTGTAGTGAAAAAACATGGTGGAATTTACATACACCGTTAATGAACTATTGATGGAAGAAGAAGTTTTGGGGACTGAACAGTGAGACAATGTGGAGCCTCCCGGAGGGTGGTGTCCTACCGTGGCCTAGCGGATGAGCCGTCTGGAGGGCGGCGTTTCTGCTAGTATGTAAATAAATAGGATGTATAATATAGCTTGATATAAATGGGTAACTATATGTCTATTTCTGCTTCTGTTTATCTGAATATCGATATTGATGTCATGTCATTTGAAGGTTAATAATTCTGTGGGTTATATATATATATATATATATATATATATATATATATATATATATATATATATATATATATATATATATATATATATATATATATATATATATATATATATATATATATATATATATATGGTTGTTGTCGTCAGGTGAAGCGGAGGAAGAACCGCCCCGGCGCAAGCCGAAAAGCACAGGGGGCTGGCTGCACGGACACCACTCACTGAAGAACTGAGAAATGCAGAGAGACCTGGCAGTTGTAGCAGTAGTAAATATGACAAATTTTGTGATGAGAGGTACCGGTATGGCCAGCATAAGGACAAAACCAGACAATGTGATGTAGTCGTGGCCAGAATTAGGCTAGGATACAGACACATCTGGCAAGTTAGTAACTCTGTACCCATACCGGAACACTCAGCATGTAAACTTTGTGATAAACCTTTAAAGCATACACTTGAACATTATATTAGTGAATGTGACACTGTCAAAGACTTCAGGCCACCTGGCTTATTGTATCATGAATTTTGTAATTACTACACTGAATCGGGGGTGCTTGGGGACATTCTTGCTGTTTATCCCAAATTTGCTAGCCCACACTGATTAGTCTTCAATTAGAATATGACGTCCAATGTATATGAACCACTGTCTTGCATGGCAGTGAACAGTGACATCACCCACATGACTGACCTACATAAACACTGCTAATGAATATGATGTATTTCTTTGTGTAAGAACCTCTGTCCTGCTTGGCAGTGAACAGTGACATCACCCACATGAATCTGATCTATATATATATATATATATATATATATATATATATATATATATATATATATATATATATAGACATTTCATTGCCCAAACGGACTTACATACAATCAAGCACTTAAGAATTCGAACCCAGCGAGCCCATGACTGTGACCAGGGGCTACCTCTTGACCACCAGTATACTGAAAGCAGTATATATATATATATATATATATATATATATATATATATATATATATATATATATATATATATATATATATATATATATATATATATATATATATATATACAACCAAAGAAAGAAAACACAGTTCCCAAGCGCTTTCGTGTAATTCACATCTTCAGGGTGAGTACAGACTAATCTCACCCTGAAATGTAATCACGCACCTACAGTGATTTACTTGCATATATATATATATATATATATATATATATATATATATATATATATATATATATATATATATATATATATATATATACATACTGTTAATGAATATGATGTATTTCTTTGTGTATGAACCTCTGTCCTGCGTGACAGTGGGAAGTAATAACACCCTCAGTGTCAAGACCTAACTGAATTACTCAGAATAGGCAAACTGTACTCCAAGCTTTGTCAATAAATTTGTTAAACTTAAAAAAAACTCACTCAAAGAAAAACAACGAAGGGAAAACGGAATGTAGGTTAGTTGTAGAGTTGTTTGAAGAAAGGTGAAGGTAAAGTCTTTGAGGTATGTCAAAGAGGAACAGAGCGAGTTGGAGGATGAGTTTTGAATCTTTGAGCTTGAAATGTCAAAGTGTTCATAGCAAGGAAGGATGATCGTATCGTAGGATAATTTTTTTTACTGAAAGCAGGAGACAGATTTGAGCTTTCTTGTGAAATGATGAACGGAGATTAGGAAGAGTTTTTTGTTGTTTTTGTTTTTTGTTCTTTGTTTTTTTGTTTCATGAGTGTACAGTATGTTAGGTTTTGTTTGGGGGGGTTGTTGTGTATAGACGTTGGTTGGCTTTAATTGGGGGCTGGGCTTTTGGGGTCGGTAAGTTGACTTGTGGAGTGATAGTTTTGTTAAGGGATAATGAGTTAGGTCGTTTTTATTGAGAGGGGTTGTCACTGAGGTTGGGTATGTTTGGGTTGCTTCTGGAGAATTGTAAGTATTTCTGTGCGGCTTTGTCAGGGGGTTCTGTTTAGGAGTTGGTTGGTATTTTATTTTATTTATTTTTATTTTTATTTCATTTTATTTTTTATTTATATTTATATATATATATATATATATATATATATATATATATATATATATATATATATATATATATATATATATATATATATATATATATATGGATGGTTGAGTTGAGTTAGTGTTTTTTGTAGGGGGGGTTAATTGTTAGTTAGGTCAGGTATGATGAGTTTCTTGGGAGGATTGTAGGTATGGATTTGTGGTTGGAGGAGTAGATTTTTTTGGGGGGGGTGTATGTTAAGTTTTTGTTTTGGGAGGATTGTAGGTTTGGTTAGTGGTTGGTTGAGTTGGGTTATTTATTTTATTTTATTTTATTTCATTTATTTATTTATTTATTTATTTATTTATTTAATTGATTATTTATTTATATTCTATATTTTTTTATTTTTTCCCCGTGGGCTTATACAGGCCTTCTGCATTTGCGGGGTGGGCTTTAGTAGGTATTGTGCGCTCTTCACGGGACCTAATTGGCGTCACTTCTTCTACAAGGATAGCCCCATTCCTTGAGTGAGGGCTTGTGTACAGGTACTATGCACCCCCTCCCCGACCTCATTGGCTAAGGGAGGCGTCCAAGTTAACTGTATGTTAGTTTGGGATGGGTACGTTAGGTTTTTTATTTGGGAGGAGTGGTAGGGTGTGTCAGTGGATGGTTGAGTTGGGTTATTTTTATCTTGGGTGGAATTGTTAGTAAAGGTTGGGTATGTTAGGTAAAGGTTGGGTATGTTAGGTAAAGGTTGGGTATGTTAGGTAAAGGTTGGGTATGTTAGGTAAAGGTTGGGTATGTTAGGTAAAGGTTGGGTATGTTAGGTAAAGGTTGGGTATGTTAGGTAAAGGTTGGGTATGTTAGGTAAAGGTTGGGTATGTTAGGTAAAGGTTGGGTATGTTAGGTAAAGGTTGGGTATGTTAGGTAAAGGTTGGGTATGTTAGGTAAAGGTTGGGTATGTTAGGTAAAGGTTGGGTATGTTAGGTTTTTGATATGGGGAGGGGGTTGTTGGTTAGGTTTTTATTTGGGGGAATGAGAAAATCAGGAAATATGGCTAGGATATCTTCTAATATAGTGAGGTGGTCTCACCTGTGATAATATAAGAGTCCTACCTATCTACCGTTTTCTTCGACTGCGGCCCTATGATGTCACATAATTAGCTCCGCCTCCCGCTCATGGGTTGTCTTGGTTTAATTAGTCTTTGGCAGAGACAAGCGATGATACTCATTGGGTAAAGACGAGCTATGACTCTCACACGAGAACAGCGTAGTAGATAATAGCATCCAACCACGGGCAAATGTTTTAGCATCTTCTAGCAACTAATTAATACAACAACGCATTTTATTTAGTAGGCTACGTTTATCTCAAGACTCACAATCATCAATTCAATTTTAATTGTTTATTCCTTGATAGAGGAAGCGGGATCCTAGTGCTGTCACTAGGTACCCGTGTATCACAATCATCATGATGTAATCTACTATAGATACTTAGGCATCCAAGGAATGACCAAATCTGAAGCTAAGGAAACAGTTTTACTTGTTATATGATAGTTTGTCCAGGCTATCAAACATGACTGTTATTTCGAGTGACAATATGCACAGACAATAGAGTTAGGAAAATGTTTTTAGCCAATTCATTTATTATGTGAAAATTCATAATCCCTCTGTGAAACACTTATACCAAGATATCCACAATGCACAGACTACTCCGATTTTTAAAACTAAATAGTAATCTTAATTAATTTATTCCGGTATTTGACAGTGTAGCCGTGGTATTTTATTGCAGCTACAGAGTAGAGTCTCGTATTTTCACTTACTAAATGTTACCACAGGACTAGCAGCCCTACCACCAATGTGCATGTGTAAATCACTATTCCAAATTCCCAACAATAGGATTACCTTATACTTTAACTCAACGACAAGTAGCAGTAGGACATAAGTAACTTTTGCTTTCGAATCAGGAATGAGGAATAATCGTTAAAATCCTAAAGAATTTCAGACATAAGTTAATCCAAAAGCAAATAGCATGGGATGATTAGTTGCCTCCTTTTGAAATGCGGTAAGATGCTGCACCGCTCAACGGAAAGTGTTAGTTATTGCTCCCATATTATCGTACCTGATATAATCTATGAGATGGTGTACGCACTGTGTACTACAATATGACTCCAATACAATTAATCTAGAGCATAAGAAATGCTTTCCGGAATTACAATTAATCACGAACATAAGAAATGTTTTGCGGACTACAATATATCCCTGG